ATAGTTAAATAAAAAGTAGTTTTTACTTTATTTAAACTATAATATAATAGATCTAAACTTTAAAAGTTAATTAAAAATATTTAAAAGAGAAGTAGAAGTTAAATAAGAAATTATTAATATAATAAATATTTAGTATAAAATAAATAAAGTAAAAAAAAGAATAATATTAATAATATTTTTACTTTTATAATATATTTAAAAAATATTAATAGATAATAAGAATAGAAGATAATAATAATAAAATAATAGATTTAATATAGATCTTTAAAAAATCTTAAAAAGTAAATTTTAAACTTTCTAAGAGAATTACTTAATACTTAAGTTAAAATAAGAAGTTAGAAAATATTACACTAAATTTATTATAATAATATTAATTTAAAAAAAAAAAAAAAAACTAAATAAATAAAAAGAGGTAATTTATACTTTACTAGGGGGGGTTTTATTAAAAATAAAGAGTAAATAAAAAAAAGTAAAGAAAAGTAGAGATATTTAGTAATAAAATATTTATTTAATCTATATTATAATCCCTATTAAAAGAGTTAAAATAATTAATTAAGTTTAAGGCTTAAACTTAACTTAATTAACTAGTAATAGCTTTATACTTAATTAATTAATTAATTAAACTTAATAAGTTTACTTGCCTTGCGGGGAGCGCTAAGCACGATCAAAAGACTCAAGGAGTCGTACCCGAGTGCTGCGGACAGAATCCGAGGTCACGTCGTCGATCTTCACAGCGACGACTACGAAACTAGCATCACGATGCTGTTTGAGTATGCGACCAATGGTAGGAAGGACTTGGTGGATCACGTCGTGGAATCTGCCGGAGAGTTCCTCGCCAACTCGCCCACGCTCCAGGACGCCACGCCGGGTAACATTACAGACTTCGCCAGAACCCGCTTTATCGGCGTATCTATCCTAGCCAAGGTGGCAGGGAGCTATATGAAAAAGGAATACACCTCATCGATCACCATGACGAGTGGCGTACTGGGCTACAAGCCAATGCCTGGCTTCGGCATCAAGGCCGGCTTAGTCGGTGCCAAGGAATCGCTGGCGAAGGGTTTGGCTGTCGACATGGCGCCTATCAGAGTGAACCTGGTGGCACCGGGTGCCGTACAAACTCCGTTGCTGGACCATGGCAGTGAGAATATCCCGATGGAAAAGGAAGCTGTGGCCAACATGTACCGAAGCTCTACCCTCTTGAACAGGATTGGAGACCCGGAAGACCTGGCAGAGGCTTATCTGTCAATGATGAAGAACTACTTCATAACCGGAACAACCATCAACGTGGAGGGTGGCTTTTTGTTGAAGTGAGCGGATATCACGGAAGGATCCGGCGTTCGGCAGGCTGAGCTGGCGATGTTGCCGGCTGGAGATCTGACGGACCTTGCCCCGGTGACAATCCGCTGGGAGGTGAAGAAAGGGAGCACCCTGCCTGGCGCCGGGCCACGATCCCAGGCGTCTGGGTGGAGCTAGTTTAACAGCCTTTGACGATGATATCCTTGACATATCGTCGGTAGATGGGCACCTGTTCTGCCACCTCTTCGGAATATCCCTAGCGCAGGACTATGTAAGGTATGAAGTAAACAGATGATGGACCCAAGCCAACAGAAGAGCTTTGACCAAACCTTGTGTGAACTTTCGCTTATGTAATACATCGTGATTTTGCTGCTGCCACGGACCATTTGCCCCTGGCCTTTTCCCCGCGGGTTCTGGATTTCGACATCCGTCAACCCGTCACAATATTGACAAATTCAACCCTCTTTGTCTGTCTCGGAATGACTGTGCCTAGTCGCCGACTTTGTTTCTGTGTCTTACATGGGTGAATGGACTTCCGGATGACAACGGCCTCACAGTCTGCGCCCCTGTCCGGGTTGTCTTCGCCCTGGGAAGGCCGCTCTTCGTCCGATGCCAAACACACAATGGAGGTATGCGATTCTCTTTCTCCAGCAGTCCAATTGCGAAGAAAAGCGACTGACGTGAAGGACGCCACAGTCGTTGAAGTCCCAGCCTTCCGGTGGGAGGGCAACAGTACGACGCTGCCCGCCGATCCCCGATCCGGTCCCCGACAAACACCATCGAGACGCGACTATCCGGAGAGGATTCCGGCCGAGAACGCGTTGCCTTCAATTGGGAACCCGCGAATGCGAGACGGCCGGATTCGCATCTAGCGAACGAGGGCGATGAGCCGCCATCAATCAGCCCCGGCGCCACGCTCCTGAACCAGACCGCATTCTGGCCACGACGCCGGCCTCACGCTTGGACCAGATTCTTCATCCCCACCGAACCAACTCCACAAATAGCTCGATCGTACACTTCTGGCAAGGACGAAGCTATAGACGCCGGTGAGGCTGGGATATGTGCTGTCAACATGGCGCGATAAATTGGGAATCGCGTGGTAGGGAAGCCGTTCGGAGACCAATGGTCTCTGTGGCTGGAAATCTTCAACTCCATTGTCAAGCAAGACATTTTGACACAGCAACCGCCGTCATGCTGCGCAATGGAGTAGTCCTGTCGCCGCGGGAGTAATCCAATGGCACATCAGCGCTAGAGCGATCCAGGAGCTGGCACTCTATGACAGGCGTGCTATTGAAACCTTGCTCCGCCGATGGATTTGGCACTCCGCGGCGGCAGGCGGCCTTCAAGAATCCTTAGGGCGTAGGGTGATTTACGTCCGAAATATTGGATCATGATCCGGCTCTGTTTGATGTGCGTTTAGATGTGCTACTTGCACGATCTTAGTCTCGAAGATGTGAAGCAGCTTCAGGCACCGTTGGAACCAACGGACCAGTCTGACCAAGTTGTCGGATCCTGCACCCAACCACCGCTTTTACCTGATGTTGAGAAAACGTCGGCGAATCGGCGACGTCACAAAAGGTCCGAGGCGCTCCCAAGTCCTTTGCGCCACGGCGCAGCCCGCCGCACTTCAAAGGGCCCGTGGCTTTCATGCCAAATAGATGATCCCTTTTTGGTGATCGATGCTGCAGAACAAGACGCGCTCTGACTCAGCCATGATACCATTTCCCCTCGAGCTCTCGCCGAATCACCCTGATGACCCCAACGGTTCTGCATGTTCTCACGTGTTTTCTGCTGGCTAATGCAGCCAGAATCGTGCTAAACTTGGGCTAATTAGCACCGGCCACGCGGCAGGGGATGAAAATCAGGTGTTCCGTATCTTCGGAGCCGATTGATGCGAATCGTGAGTTCAACATTGCAGCCGAATTTTCCGACATACGACGGGGGCAGGAGTGACGATGTCGAGCATCGCGAATAATTCGGAGTGCATTCGATATCATGAGAGGGGGCCAATGCCTGTCTGATACATCTTACTTCTTCCGGCGCCCAAAGCAATGGGCCAGATCTGCTAAGGAGCGCCGATCCAGTCGGGACCACTCACAGTGTCTCACTCACCCAAGAGCCCCCAGCACTATTACAGTGAAAGAAAGAACTGGGTGATAATAATGGAATAAAGATGCTCATATTCCGGATGCGAATGAACATGGGGGGAGGAGGTCGTCACTGGCCCACTTAGCCTGAAATCGTAGATCTTGACGGAGCAACACCTAGGGAGACCCCGGACTGCCTTGGCCCCGGCCGGTCCGACGCCGCGGCTGTCCGAGCGAACCCTCTCTACCAAAGTGTCTCTGTGGTGATTCGCCAATTCGCGTTGTTTGCACCACGCTGCTGCAGGAGAGCCGGTGCGGGAACGTACTATGGTAGGCGAGATGTGTCTTGTAACTGTGCTGTATGCTGCAGCGTACCTTCGTTCGTCCCATGAATGCAGTGCTTCTCCGTCGTTTCTCCCCCGACATTCCCGGAAAGGAAGGACAGTCGTTAGGCGATGTCCCCGAGTGTCACTAGGCCCGTTGTAAGGTGTGTTGCAGTGTGTTTCCAACATGAGGCCAAGGAATCCCGCAGAGCACGGCCCATGTGAGTTGTGATGGGGGAAGAGCTGCCGAGGACGGCTCCGAGGTGCTTCGCTTCAGTCCTCGTATCGGGAGCACACGTGTGTTTGCATTCCGTGCATGCTGCACGCTCTGTCCAGACGGTGTCCAGAAAGCTGCAGAAGAGGGGCTAGAAAGAGGGAAGAAGCAAACGAAGAAACGGGTCTGGAAGAAAAAGCAATATGCAGAAGTAATTTTGTTCAAAATCACGTACGCAAGTTCAGCCCCCCGTTCACGAATTGCGTATGTATCTTTTTCATTTGTTTTGATTGTCGAGGGGTGGTTTTTCATATCCATCTGATCGGCTGATCGGCTTGTGGGCCACTTCTCATCTCCATCAGCTAGGGAAAAGTTGGGGAACTGCTCGACCGATTCACGACTCTGATCTGATTCCACTGACACGGGGAGATGAGAGGAGGACGCAGGATAGACTTCTTCCGTGAATAACTTTGTACACATTCTCTGTGGCAAGGAAGTGAAGGCTTGTAGCAGAAAGTTATGCCCACCAGCCCTGCATCAGCAGATCATGCCCATCTTTGTTCCCCTCATCCCCCAAAACTGCTAGAATGCCAGTGCAGACTGTAGCAAGTGAAACAAGTTCGCCAGCGAGCAAAAGTAACCTAGTCTATCCCAGCCGCTTCCGGAGCGACAGTACCACGTGTGCAGGGGCCCGATGCTGACGGCTAACAAAAGAAGGTCGAACCAAGCCTGCGGGGTGTGGCGTGCATCGAAGTCTGGAGCTACTTTTTGTAGTTTCTGCCCTCGAACCCCCCGGTCGGGTTCATCTCGACAGCACTATGGGCGAGACCGACACACAGGCGGGATCATTTATCATGCCCTTCCTCCCTCCCTCCTCTGCTCAGTCTCCCCCTTCTCGCATGTAGTTTGTCTGACATTCAACAACTATCGCTCGGGTTTGAAACCTTTTTCGCCAAACGATCTCAGGGCAACTGCAAACGACTTGACGTCTCGCTCAACAGGCCTACGCAACTTGTCGAAGAGGGAGGAAGGGGAACTCGAGTATGCGAACGGGAGCGAACGCTCCCACATCAAGCGCCAATGGGCTCCATTCTTGATCTGCTCGGCAAGGCCGACAACCTCAGCGACCCCATGCCGATATTGAACGAGCGAGCTGCAGTGCTTGGCATGGTTATTTCTTTCCTGGTGGTCGCCTGGATATGCGGCATCTTTCGACTTTACGTTCGATTCTTCGTCGCCCATTGCCTAGGATGGGACGACTTTTTCGTCGTGCTGGCCATGGTAAGCTGTCATCATGATGGGAGCAGGTTATGAATAGGCATCTAACATTTATTTAGCTTTCCAGCTTAATGTTATCAGCAGCGACATGTGTATCAACGAATTACGGTCTAGGTCAGCATTTTCTGACGCTGGGCTTCGCTGGTATGGTCGCATTTGTTAGGGTAAGATTCCTCCCTAAGTCGCATTGACATCCCATCTGACCACTCCCACAGAGTTTCTACGTATGCGGTGGCGCATACGCGATGGCCACGGCCTTGATCAAGCTGGCGTTGCTTTTCCAGTATCTGCGCATGTTCGAGGCCGGCTCGAAGTCGCGATTCGTCACTCTGGTGGTCATCTACATCACCGCCGCGTGGGGTCTGGCCTACAGCTTTCTCGCCTTCATCCCTTGCTTCCCCGTCTCAGCGTTCTGGAACTTGACAACCGTCACGAAGGACAGATGGGCTTTCGGCTCACACGACCCCGTCATCTTTGCGCGCACTTTCGAGAGTCACGTCGGCATGAATGTAGCGTTGGATCTCATCGTGTTCCTAATTCCCCTCCGTCTGTTCCTGGAGCAGGGCCTGAGGGCGAAGTCACGTCTCGGCCTCTTGGGTCTTTTCACTATGGGAGTTCTGTAAGTTGATCAACTTTGCAACTCTGGGGTATATCCCGCTAATGCCGTCTGAAGTGTAAATATTTTGGGAATTTTCCGATTGATTGGCATCAGCCACTCCCAAGCCGGTACATATCCGACTCTGGACCCCTCATGGTACGGTTGCGTGCCCATTGTTCTCGCCGCCGTCGAGGTCAACCTCGCCACAATATGCGCCTCACTGCCGATCTTCTGGCCCGTCCTCCAGATGAACTTGGGCAAGATCTTTATCACGAAAGAAATCGAGATCACATCTGAGGTCAGGCGATTCAGCGGCGACGAAGAGATGGTCGGCGAGCTTGGTGATCTTTCGCCACAAAAGTCGTTAAAGAGTCTCGGCAGAGACCCCAATCCTAGGTGGTCGGACATGTATGCCCCGTCCCCGGATCGTTCGAGGGCGATGAAGGTGCACGTTGAGGTGGAATCAGGGCACAAGCATGGCGAAAAGCTATTTGTTTCTGAGCGTTCCAGGCGAGTTCTTGACGATCACGAGTCGCAAGAACATATTGTTTCTTCCAATGTTCCATACGTTTAGTTAGATGATACCACATTTGATTTTCCGTTTCACCATTCAAGCATTCTCCTCATCGTCCGTCACAACGAGTGTCATGTTTACTTTCTAGGGGTCCAGAGTGACAGCTCATCATTCGTAATTACGCCCGTAAATCCAGCATATGTCTCAGCCCTTAGAGGTTTCATAGCCTTGGCAATGAAGCGAAGTCTTTGTCAGATTGAGGAGGTCTCACTTCTTTCGGCCGTCTTCGGCGAAATGAGTCGCAGTTCGTCGGTGATAGGACCGTTTTTTGACTGGCTCGCGGAACTCTATCCGGTCACACTGACATGGTGGCTGATTCCACCTTTGTCCCGAAACTCTATTTCCAGCCTCAACAGTCCTCGCCAGCTTTGATTCGGAGCATGTCCTCCTGAGTCCATTGCTTGTACGTTAATAGATATTATGGTGAATAACAATATCAGAAGATCGTTTCTTGTCCAATCACTGACTTATTACTATCAAGAATGGTCATCAACTGTCATTCGAGAACCAAATAGCCCCCTCACATGCAAATGTGCGCTAGCTGCGGAGGCTCCCAATTGAGATCACTGATACTCGTAGCAGAAGGGACCACCCCTGATGTCCATCATATCGCTCACCACCATCTCCTTGCCGAAGTTGGGGAAACTCAACGGGTACTGTAGCGTGATATTCTCATAGGGCACATCCCCGAAGAAGTCGAATGGGTAGGCGAACATGGCGTCTGGACCGCCTATGGCAGTCTTGCGCGCGGGCCAGTCTACGTACGGAGCGTTGTCAGTCGGCAGGTCTCCGAGTCAAAAATGTGGTCATATTCGTGAACTCAAATCGACCTCATGATATGAGGGGTCGAAGAGAACAGATGAGGGAGGCAATCCTTCCGAGACACGAAATCAGGGACACTTACCAGTGCGCTGCCAATCGTTCCAGAGCTTGTCCACAGCACCATGCACCAGATAGAAGATCGGATCACCAGGGGAAGAGTACATGTCAGCGTTCTGGCCGCAGTTAGTTTGATGCTTGGGGCAACTGCAGTATTTTGACGTAAACTTACTTCCCCAACTTGGCCACCGATGCCCAAATGCATACCCGCATGGATTGTCATGCCGCTCAACCCAAAGCTGTAGCCCTGCATATGGTAGTTGAACTCATCAAATGTCGTCGCTGACAATGTTTGTCGGATGATCTCGTCAGACATGGCACTCGCAACCAGAGTCGGGCTGAAGTCACGTCGAAGGCAGTGGGGATTATACTTGGTTGAATTGCCTGCGCATGCTGTCAGCCAACACCACGAAACATCATGATTGAGCTATGGCCGCTAGCATACCAACGCCCATGGGAACAGTCAGGTTCGCAAATGGGCCATGCTGAACGCATCCTGGGGGTCACGTCAGTTGTGCGGGTCTTGACTCATGGCAAACGTTTCACGAACCTCCGCCCGTTCTGTTAGGAATTTCCGTTGGTGTCTTAGTGGGAAATTCTTCAGGGTCGCTAACGTCCTGGATGTACGGCCCGTTCCCGCCGAACCCATACACGTCGTCGAAGATGGGAGAGTTGACGAAAGTCTCTGCGGTGTTGTCAAGGCCGATGTCCCAATATGGCAGAGCGCTTTGGTACGAGCACTTGTTTCGCAATTCAGACTCGAAGAGGTAAAGCATCCAACGATGCCAGCTGCAAGTCATCAGTTCAACATTCCCTTGACTCTTGCCAGACATTATACACACGGAAGGAAAGTGCCCTAAACATTTCTTTTTGTTAAAACAACTTCCGTCTGAACAAATCCCATGAGACTAACCGTGAAGTGCACTTGCTCTGTTACAGAAATGTGCAAGCCTTGGAAATCGTCGTATCGAGACTTTGAACCAACCCATTGGTCACTGGTCTCTGAAGGTAAAGACATGAGGCATTTCATGGCGGCGATGTAATCAAGCCTCTGCTCCATGGTCGTCTGCCGCCATTCTTGCCTAATCAGAGGGTCTTTGCAACCTTCTGAGTTAACATTCCCTGACGGAGCAGCAAGGACGTTATGCAGGGTAACTAGGGTGACGATAGCTGAACTTAGGTGTGCTGCGAACTGCATCTTGACGATACCTTAAAAGGGTGCAACTGAGGCTGTGCAACGCTTAAACATTAAAGTCTAAGAAAGCATGGTAAACATTGAGCAGACATTCTCCTTATTTATCGTGGAGAAGGGGTCTGTGAAAAGCGGTTCAGTCTGACATCGGGCATGGCTGGCCAAGTGATCACTATCAACGAATCCAAGTCGCACATGCCAATGCAGTCATCATGACCCTGGCGGTATAAGTTTGCTAATATCTTCTTCTGACAATTTTGATTGAACAACAGAACTGCCAGTGCATATACGCACTCGGCTTACTTGCTGATTTCAGCCTGCTGGAGTCGTTCCAATGCACGTTGGTAGCACTGCATGTTGAATTGGATGAAGTCCAGACTTCTTTGTAGTTTGGGTCGCCAACAGAACCCGGCTCAATCGGCGGGGACGATAAATGGAGAGTTCTCGCCGATGCTTGCCCTCCCCTGACTCTTCATTATCTCCGCAAGGGCATTTAGGGGCGATGACTGCCCATGGGCAGAGAAATGAGCTTCACCTCAGATAAACGGCCTTGTGGATGCAAACCTTCACTAAATAGCACAAGCTTTGATTGCAATACTAGCATAAGACCCCACCCCTAGTAACAAAAAACCCCCCACAACGCAAACGCGTTTTCGCATGCATTTTATAGCTATAACTTATAATTATATATTACTATAAACTATAATTTCTCTATAAATCTATAACTTTAATATATAATTTTACACTATTTTTATTATTTAATAATTCGCTATTAATTAATACTACTTCTATGAGGGGCTAGCCCTTAATTTGTTCAACTTAGGGGTGCCTTAATTATAAGAATCTAAGCTAAAGAGGGGAGGGTTCTAAGAAGCCCCTTATATAGAGGAAAAATAGGTATAAAGTAGTAATTAAGCGAATATAGTCGCTAAAAGCAGAATTCTCCTAAATCTATAGTACTACTTAGACGTTAATAATAAGTATAGCTTATAATATATACCCCCCCCTCTAGCTTTTATATAAGTATAGTTATAATATAAGCTAAAAGTAGTTAGTATAAGCTATAAATAGAGCTAATACTATATTAATCTAAGCTACTAATTACCTTATACCCTATAAATAAATAATATAATAATAAGATTTTTTATACTTAATTTACTTCTTATTTTTCCTTCTCTTATTAACTTATATAGTAATAAGTTAATTAATTAATTATAATATTATTTTAGCTAACTTTTTATTATTTTAATAGTATTTCTAATATACTCTCAGCTTATTATTTATATAAGTTAATTAGCCTCTAATCCTTATTAATTACTAACTTATTTAGATCTAATTAATTTACTCTCTCTATTTTTATAATAATACTACTTATATAAAAATACTTACTCTTTCTTTATTATTTTACTATAATTAACTTAATATAGCTTACCCTATTAGACTCTAATATAAAGATAAAGTCTCCCTCTATTATTATTAGTAGTACCTCACCCTCTAAGTATTTTAAGTTTACTAACTTCTTTAACTATAAAGAGCTTATTCTTAAGAAGTTTAACCTCTTTAATAACTCTTTTTACGTTTTAGAAGATTAAAGTCTATATATTTACTTTAACTAGTTCTTCTCCCCCTACTTTATTATTAAGATACCTATTTTTATATATTTCTATCTTATTCTTCTATTACTTTCCTAATATTCTACTAAAGCTTTCACTTATATTAGCTTATCTTTAGTAGTATCCTCTTAAATAATACCTAAGAACCTCCTTATAAGGTCCCTTATTTAAAGTATATATCTACTATAGCTAAAGCTAAAAAGCCTAGTAATATTATAGTTTATTATAATATCCTTAAATAAAATATATTATCCCTATACTTTAGACTTATTTTAGAACTAACTATTTCCTTAAATAATATTACTTAATATATCTATTACTCTAATAAGTCTATTAAGTTAGCTTATATTAATATAAATACCTATCCTCTACTATTTTAATACTATATAGCTAATAATCTATTAGAGTAATAAAAATATAGTTTACTACTAAGAGGAGTTTACTTCTCTTAGTTATAACTATCTTATTTATTATAGTATTAATAAAGAGACCTTAATAAGTCCTTATTACTTCACTATTCTAATAAAGTTATTAATTTTTTTTACTAACTCCTTATATAAGTTAAAGCTTATATAGAGCTTCTCTATACTACCTCTATTTAGAGCTATAAGATCTATACTAAAGCTAAAGAGAAGTATACTACTAAGGTTACTATTAAGGCTATTATTAGTATTAATATTTCCCTTATACTTTCTATTAGTTCCCTAGCTACTTCTATCCTTAACGCTCTTATTACTACCTTTACTTTAATATCTCTCTTAGTTAAGCTTAATAAAGCTTAGCTATACTATTTCACCTAAGTTTACCTAAATATAGCTAAAGTCCTCTATAAAGTCTATTATACCCCTATTCTACTCCTATTTTCAGTATTCTAACTCTTTTTAGCTTATTAATACTATTATTACTACTTATACTAAATAAGAAAAATAAAAAGTTTATTTCTAAAGTTTTTATTTTATTTATTTATTTACTTATTTTAAGCTTATCTTAACCTTATTATACCCTTCTATAGCTTTATATTATAATAAAATCTTTTTATTACTCTTTATCTTTTTACTTATAAACTATTTTACTACCTTTCTTTTTATTCTATTTATACTTACTTACTATTATTTAACTATAACGCTATATACTAGAGGTTACTATTATTTTTATCTATAAAGCTATACTTTTCCTTAAACTTATCTACTACTTAATTATCCTATAGAGATTATAAAAGTTCCTAAGTAAGCTAGCTATATCTTAACTACTTAACTAATAACTT